TTATTTATTTATTTATTTATTTAATTATTTATTTATTTATGTATTTGTTTATTTATATATTTGTTTATTTATATATATATTTTTATTTATTTATTTGTTTGTTTATATATATATATATATATATATATATATGGCCAAGCCTTTCTAAATCCGAGGTAAATTGAGTAGTATTTGTAAGTAATTAGATCAAAGTGAGATCAGGGATCAAGTATAGTCTATGGCAGGCAGTGAAGCGCTGCGAGCCAGGTTTAGGGTGTGAGTAGAGGAGGACTTGTATGAGCCGGCTTCTCTCTGCTCTACTCCGCTTCGTCTGTTCCTCTTGCCACGGCGTCCTGTTAGGCTGCGCCCAGATTTCGCTACTTCCAGGCGCACAGTTCGCAACAGCCGGCCGAAAGCGCCAGCTTCTTGGCGCTCTTCTCGTCGCCTCTCGAGGCTCAAATGGCTGCCGCCTACTGTCCCTACGGCAGTCTGCGACAGGGCGCTTATCTCACCGGCGCCGCCTGCCTCGTCCCGCCCTGCAAGTCGTCTCTTCTGCCTCCTCCGCACTCGTCGCAGCCTCAAACACAACCTCACCATCAACCTCATCTCCAACCTCAAACCCAGCCCTATTCTCAGTCACAACCACAAGCACAACCACAACCGCTAGCGCCGAGCCACGCGGTTCTGGGCGGTGAAGGAGCCCACGAGGTCGGCGTTCTGCGAGTCTCCGAGGCGTCGGTCCTGCCGATGCTGCCGATGCTGTCGGGTCTGCCGGGAATTGCGGGAATTGCGGGAATTGCGGTTTCGCCAGCTCCACCGGCGGTGTCAGGCCAGCGCGCCTGGCCCCGGCACGACGAACTGTTTCCACGCCTCTTGCCGGCCAGAGACGTCGGGCTCGCGGCCGCCGGGTTGCTGCCCACTACAACTTGGTTGCCATCCGGCCAGTCAGCCAGCGGTGCCGTGTCCCATGCGCCCGGACTAGACGGACTCATTCAGGCCTTCTGGCACAACCACACACACTAGCACCTCGCAGCATCCAGCTGCTCTCAACTTTTTAGCAATCTCTTCTCTATTCTCTTTTCCTTTACTCTTCTCTTTCCTCTTCTTTTCTCTTATCTTCTCTTCTCTTCTCTATTCTTGTCTCCTCTCTTCTCTTGTCTTCTTTCTTATCTTCTTTTCTCTCTTCTCTTCTTTCTTCTGTTCTCTTCTCCTCTCCTCTCTTCTCCTTTCTTATCTTCTCTAATCTTCTCTTTCCTCTTCTCTTTTCTTCCATCTTCTCTTCTCTCCTCTCTGCTCTTTTCTTCTATTCTCTTCTCTTGTCTCCTCTCCTCTCTTCCCTTCTCTTTTCTCCTCTTTTCTTCTCCTTTCTGCTCTTTTCTGTTCTTTTCTCCTTTTTACTCCTCTATTCATTTTTCTTCTTTTTTCTCTTCTCCTCTCTTCTCCGCTCTTCTCTTCTCTTATCTCTTTTCTTTTCTTCTCTTCTCTATACTTTCCTCATCTCTTCCCCTCTCCTTTCTTCTCTTCTCTTCTCTTCTCTTTTCTCCTCTCTTCTTCTCTCTTTTTTTCTCCTTTCTTCTCTTCCCCTCTCCTCTCTTTTCTTTTCTTCTCTTCTCTTCTTTTTTATCCTCTCCTATCTTCTCTCTTCTCTTCTTTTCTCCTCTCTTCTCTTCCCTTCTCTTTTCTCTTCTCTTCTCTTTTCTCTTCTATTCACTTCTCTCTTCTCTTCTCAGCTAAACTTAACTAAACTCAATCCAAATCGTCTCGGCTTAATCTAATTTGACTCGACCCAACTCTCTCAACTTCACTCAACTCAACTCTCTTCCTGGCCACTTAATTTCTGCACCGTTAAACTCGATCCCATTTTCGTCTTGTTCCCCTTATATCGCCTTCCTACCTCACTTCGGACGAAGCAATTCCGCAGACTCACCAGGCCAAGGCCCGAATATCGACGCACAATTCCACGACTTTGGCTCCCAAAAGGATGCCAGTAGATGTCAAAAGCACTATTTTTCTAGAACCTCACTCATCTTGTCTGGCTTTTCACGTCGTTACATCTTCCCACCCTCTCGAGGATCGAGCCACCCACCGTAATGGTCGACTGGAGTGACCAATTGCACCATCTCACAACGTGCCCCCACCCCTTCCTCACGAGCTGAGCTGAGCTGAGCCGATTCCGTCTGGTTCGGGAGGATCAGGCTTTAAGCTTTTTTCTTGAACACATGGTCATGGTCGTAGTCATGATCACCTTGTTGAATTCTCACATTTTCGCTATGCAAGCCGGTTTATGCCGAGTTCCGAAACGTCTTTTCCCCTCTCTTATTATACGAAAGGGTGACTTGACTTCTCAGAGGCGAAACTTTTTTGAAATGAATGCAGGTTGAGTATTATCTGATAAATTCCTTCTGCATTTTTGCCTTCGGTGAAGATCGCCAAATGTTTTTCCCTTAGCCATGACAATTGTACCACAAATTTTTACAAAAAACAGTTTTCTTTTCTCAGTCGGTATCATGAAGGGATGATGACTGTAACCCGTTTTTTGAAACTCTTGCTCCTTTCTCAAAGGAAGTTTCAAGTCAGCCTTTCAGTTTATCAGTTTAC